ATAACATTACATAACTATTAGTTTATTTAATTCATACTTAATCATATGTAACACGACAAAAACGACAAACACGAAAAACACGACAAACACATGCTCAATCGTGTCAATTTCATGTCGATTTATGAACACGAACACGACACGACACGACATCGTGTTTTTTAAACTTGACACGAAAACGACACGAACACGAATTCGAATTTTGATTTCGTCCCGATTTCGTTTCGTGTCGTGTATTTTTGTCGTGTCGTGTCATAAATTGACACCCCTAGGATCGAACCCACAATAAACGAGAAATAGCACGCACTGGGAGTGAGATTTTGCCGGCTGAGCTAAGTAACATTTACGTTTTGTTATTGATGAAACAAACATATATATATATATATATATATATATATATATATATATATATATATTATATATAAAAGTGTATAATATTAATTTTGTTAAATTCGGACCCTATTTTTTCCGAGACCCTGGGCGGATGCACACTCTGCACACCCTTAGGGTCGGCCCTGCATACTTGTTGCATACATAAAATATTGCATACTTCTAAATACAATTATGATAGTTATTCAATTCAAAATTTATACAAACAAACTTTATTACATGATTCTAACGAGAAATATGTTTAATTACTAAATTCATCTTCACTACAATCAATATATAACTTTCATCTCCATTATACGTATTTCTAAATTAAGTATACAGACTTACTCTATGTTCATACAGAAAAGAATCAGCATACGCACTTAAAAAAAATGTCTTATTCATTATATAATTGTTGATAATACCACTTAATACATAGTTAAACTTAGAATTATGGTAGATATTCAGTTTAGAACTTACACATAAAGTTGTATTATATTATTATAAACATGATTTTTTAGTCATTCTTTTTACAATTCCAAATCCAAATTAAGTCTTACAAACTATGGTAATCTAGTAGGAATTTGATGTTTCAAAAAAATTTTAATTACTCACAACATGTATTTCGTTTTAACATCCATATATTCAACCAAAATGTTAGTCCAATAGTTATTTAAGAAACATTTACGTGATGCTTTATAGTATTTACAGTATGCACCACAAAACCATAGATTTAGAATGATATGAGTCATATGTCATATATTAATTGACCTTTGCTCAGTGTCATATACCATATATTATTTCACCCTAATTTACGAAAAAGTCTCAAACTAAAATTTGTTTACGAAAAAGCATGAATTACCGGTAAAAATGGCGATTTGACCTCTTTTTTCCGGTTTACCGGTTTTATTACTTATCTGTTTCACTAAAGTCTCATTATTTTACCCTAATTTGCGAATAAGTCCCAAAATAATTAAAATTTACTGATGATTTGGTCATTTGCTCTATGTAACATACATTTTACCAGTTTCATTGTTGACCCGGACGCCTAGTCATTAAATGAGATGATGAGATGGATATGTTGAGTTATATAATGCTATGTTTACATAACTTGATATCCTGATGTATTGTATATCTTTTTGGAACATAAAATGCATCCAACGAAGACTACAATAATTACATAAACTAACAACAACTGCGTTATTTTTTTACGTTTATAAGAAATATCAAATTGTCTATCTAATCTTATGTAACCCAATATATCCATCTCATCAGACATCAACTCATTTTCTGCCCTTTTTTTCTTGGAAACACACATTTTATTGGTTTCATTCCTGACGTAGATACATAGTCACAAATGAGCCGATGAGATGGATATCAAATTTTACAGTAAATGTGACATTATATAACCCATCGTATTCATTTGATCAACTAATTAAATGACTAGGTGTCTAAGTCAGCAATGAAACCGATAAAATGTATGTTACACGAAGAAAAACGTCAAATCATCAGTAAATTTTATTTTGGGACTTATTCGCAAATTAGGGTAAAATAATGGGACTTTAGTGAAACAGGTAAGTAATAAAACCGGTAAACCGGAAAAAAAAGGGTCAAATCGCCATTTTTACCGGTAATTCATGTTTTTTCGTAAACAAATTTTAGTTTGGGATTTTTTCGTAAATTAGGGTAAAATTTTAGGACTTTTCTGGAGATTTCCCTATGGAATATAAGCAATAACTTTAGGTTCACACCACTTATAACAACCATATTTTCACACATTAAATAAACTCATCACATAGTTTTACTTAGAATACGCCCAACACATACCAATCCAAACAAAATTACCATATTCCAAAAAAACCAACATAACAAAACACTTCAAAGCTCATAAACGATCATCAGTTTTTATAATACTAAAAAACCTAATTAAACACCATCTTCTTCACAAATGATTCTACTGCGTCACACCTATGATTTCTTTCTTCTTACCTTCAATCAGCTTCATCCTTTCAAACCTGTCCATTTTTTTGACAACTGCATAATGCTTCACAAATGTTTGCTTCATAACATTAAAATCCGACATCATCAACTTATACAGATACTTATACCTTAACCATCCCAAAATCTTTTCTTGTATTTTAGAAGCAACACATAGACCGCAATCCCATTTATGTGCCGCTTCTCCCATGTATGTTTCCATGTGTCGCATATGGAAAATTCCACAGTCAACACCAACTATTTTCCTTTGACACTTCATTTTCATAACCACAACTTCTTTTTTAAGTAACACATTTGCTTTTTTGTGTTCAACACTATTCAGATAACAACAAAAGAAACTTTTTTGCATGTCAAATTAAATAATAATTCATATTATAATAAATATATAACAACAATTACGATAATCTATATATGAATTGATGAAGAAAACAACATATCTAACCACGATACGTGGTCTATTCCCATATGCAGACTCAATTGTCCCCGACCTCTTAATGTAATCAAATATATAAAATGCAACCGTTTTCAAGCAAAAACAGACTAGGTAGTAACTATCATCAACAACAATTGGAATGAAAACCTACAGTTAAACAAAATCAACATCAGTACAACATAGATGTGTGATACAAATCATGTATAATTATCGTAACATGTAACAGTTCCATACCGACCATATTAAAATTCATAGCAGAATATGACATAGAACATACATGGTCATATTAAAAACTTACAATCGTATCGCATGTGAAGTACATCCTAGAGTAAGATGCCTCTGACTTCTGTTCCTTAATTTTATTAAGGAAAGCAGTCAACGCGTCTATTACATTGTTATGCACTTTTGTTCTCATAGCTAATGTATGTGCAAATTCCAAATGCATTCCATGACCTTCAATAGTTTTCCATATTATTTCCCTGCATTTGTAGCATAAAACAATAAAACTGTCATGACAAAAACAAATTTCTCATTTCCATTGACTCATATAAAATGTACATTCTTACCCTTTATCTTTTCCCCATGTTATTATGCTTTGAGCCACAACATTTTCATCATCTTTAACCGCCTCATCCACGTCCATAATCCCGATCTACATATGGTGAACACCTCAATTGTCCAAGTTTCCCCTTCCTTTTACCTTTTCCATTTTTGAAGTCAACAACATGCACCTTTTCACCTTCCATAATATCTTTTCCATTTCTTTTCTTTAGTTTTTCTTCCGCTACATATTTCTTTGTATATCTAATTACTGCCTTAGTTCCTTCCATATCATCCATATTTTTATCTTCCTTATTCAATTGTGTTATTCTCGAATTGAATGATGGTATGTCATCTTTGCAAAAATCCTTTTTCTTTGTGATGCTCCTTTCCACAATTTCATCAGACATATTCAAAAAACCAGGAGTCAAAACAACTGGACTATCCAACGATGTATTTCCTTTATATTCAAGAAAGAGTACAGAAGGTGAGTCACACACATCCACAACCTTTGTCTTCTCGTTATTCCTTCCGGTAGACTGAACATTGCATATCGGACTACTTCCTTTCACAAAATTACTTTGATCAGAATTGACAACAACTTTAACTGACGTTTTCATTGTCGCTTCATTTGTGGGCGATCTATTATCTCCAGGTTCCATAGTCGTCGCATAAAAAAGTTGATGCACCTTCTGTGACCTCTCTTTTACCTCCTCATCATTTGCATCATTTTCTAACCCCTTCTTAATTGCTTCTTCAATTTTTTTCTTATCATCACAGATCCTACAATATAGCATTTCATTTGTTTCCACATCTACCTGTCATTGCTATTAAGAAGGGGTTACACATTTATCTTATGAATTTATTGTGATTTTACGCAATTTACATGACATACATAATAAAATAACTTACCAGCTTATCCTCATCATCATCTACATCAATAAGATCCACTTCCTCATCTCCACGAAACTCCAATGTTCCAAATCTTCCCATTTGCAATCCATGCTCCTCCAACATTTCCAAATCCACCGAGTCAATATGTTTTATCAATGGCCATGATCTACGAAGATTATAGCCATTCGAAACTTCTTTGTCCGCATACGTAAGCTATCACAACATAATTAATGAGTTCTCATTACTTATTTTCATTATAGAATTAAAAATAGTACAAACCTAAATGCAAATAATTACAATTACTTACCAGTAAGAGAGTGAGTGGACATGTGTAATAACAGTTTGCATCATTTGGCCTCCATTTGTATTTTGCCTTCTCCAAACATTCCATTATATACTTGCACCAATCAATCTTTTGAATATATTCACACCTTGCTAACTTCTCCAGACAATTAATCCAGCTTGCCCCACTCACCTCTATCTCCGCGAACGTGTTTATGAATTACGTCAGGAAATTAAGCTTGAACATGTCATCCGCCACCTCTGATTGTCTAATCCTCTTCACATAGTTTCCATTATTGAACTTTCCTCCTGGATATTGACTTTTCCATGCTTCAGTCAGTGGATATGTTTTATCACATTCCACCAACTAGTTGTAGTCTAAACCTTCACTTGGCAAGCCAAACATCTCTTCAACCTTTTTCTTTGTAATATTTATTCCCCCTTTCTTAGTCTTAATTGTCGATGTTCTTGCTGTGAATTTGTCCACCAAGTAGTATGTCAATCTAGAAGGTATTGAATCAAACTTTATATCAAGGAACGCACCGAAACCCATTCTTCTCACTATTTCTTTCTGAGTGTATGACATTCCCTTCACCGCCATATATATTGATTTTGGGGACATATGTCATCATAATCAACATCACTACAAAAACTCGATTGTATTCTAGCCCAACGGTATCAGGTGGTGTTCTCCCTCCTTGAGGTTGATGGTTCAAGTCCCGTGGTGGACATAGGTGGAATTAGGTGTTAGTTTAGGAGTAGATTATAATAGTTGTATTTGTCGGTTCAAAAAAAAAATCAAGTGTTTGCAGCAAACTGCTTTCACCTTTGGGCACAAGGAAAATAAGGGAAGTAAACTAAGCTTGCTCTTCAAGTGTTATTAAGAATCAAACGGAAAAGCTAGTACATAAACATCAAATGTTAACTCCTATTTATACTAAAGGAAATTGAAACTTACTCTAATACCATTACACCGGGAAAGATAAAGACAACAAGGAAAATTTCCAAAAACCAAAATTCTTGATTATTCCAACAATCATTTTATATACATCAATAGAAAGCAGGAACTTTTGTCAATAAAACATTACCTAAGTAAAGGATTTTGGTTGTGTAAGCCTCATTTTGAACTTTGAAATTCTAAAACCGGCCAAAAGTAACAAACTCATATATAAGGACCCATTCAATACCAACAAAACCCAAACCCCACAATAATACTGTATAAAAAACACCAATAGATAAAAAATAATAAAACAATAAAAAATAAGATTTACCAATACCATGAAACTCATCAATAGGATCCATTCTAAAAGCTGACAAAAGTAGCATGTTTTAAGGCATTTTGCATCTGAGTTCCTACTTTTCCTCAATACAAAGATTCACACCAAATGAATTGTGAAAAGCCCCCGAAATCATAATATAATTACAAAATTATACAAGGTGCCACTTACAACATATTTCAAATCTCCACTAGGTTCATGTTTAATATTAAGAGGCTAAAACAAAATATCAAAACCTAACTCATAAACGTTTTGAATATCCAGAACCTGCACACTTCTTGCAGAGTATCAATCCTACAAAATCACAAATCAATATTCAAATATCGTGCATTTTTTTATAGTAATTGAAGTGACCAAAACTCATACTGTAAGTGATAACATTTTTTACAAAATAAGAACATAAAGCGCCATTAATACCTGCACCCTTGCATACTTTACACTCAACTGAGCCTGTTTCCATTTTCATCTTCCCATCATTACAGAAAACACATTTTGTGCCACCTATTCATCCAACCAGATTGTTAAACACCATCTTTTTCTTATCCATAATGTCAATGTAGTTAAATAAATTTATAGACTTTTTATCCCCTTTTGAAGCTAAAAATCATTCTGTTTATCCTAATGTCAAAAGTGGTGGATCTTTTCTAATCTTACAGAAGAAACGACTTAAATAAAACATAGAAGAATGCAATTTTCCCAAGTTTACAAAATAGAATTAGAAAACTTACCATTTCCAGCACATTTCGCACAAGGAACTGGATCTCCCTACATGAAAATCCAATAATCATAATTCATCATAACCCAAAAAAAACAAAGATCATACATCCTAATTTTTAAAAGAGGGCTGCATTTTCTCGATAAGTTTATAACAAGCGACAATTTAGGACACAAGTTATAGAAGCAATTCAATTTCCAAATCCCATAAATTTAGCCCTAATTATGAACAGGAAGAGTAATGACGTAATTGGGTGACACTCCAATTGTTCGAACATATTTGGGCAAAGATGAATATCTAAAAAAAGAGGGGCGAACCTTGAGACCAAGAAACAGTGAGAGGGAAATCGCAACCAAAACGCTGATTGTGGCAAGAAACGTTTGAGTATCCAAAGGGGGTTTGAATCCACTCGTGTATAATAAAATGGGATCAAAAATGTGTTCTTGTGGAGGAATTAAATGGAGCTTGGACGAGTAAGAAGAAACGGCGGACAAAAGGGTTTTGTTAGGGTTTAAAATTGGGATGTATTGTGAGGGGTTAATGGAGGTTATTGAGCAGAAGATTGAGGAAGACAATGGAGGATGGATTGAAGAGGAGTGAGAAATTGTCGCCATGGATGGAGAGAAAGAAAGGGATAAAATTTGTGAAGCTCCTGCTTTGTGGCCATTTCGTTTCCTCTGTTTTTCTGTTTCTTTGTTATTTTGCCTCCTTTTTCTATAAAGAGTATATTCCAGTCGTTGGATTTTTGTTTTCAATCTATTGGCATATTAAAATATAATTGTTCAAAATAAAAAATCTTCTAAAAATAATTGACATTATTATTTTGTTATTATATTTTATTAAAACTATGAACTATTCTATATTAATTACTTATTACTTAATTTCTAATAATATTTTATATTATAAAATTTTGTTAAGCTAAATTTTTCAAAAAAAAAAAATTTAACTTTGAAGTTTGAAATATAAATTTCATTTTAGTAGTGTTTTAGATAATTAGAAAGATAGATAATATATCTTATGTAAATTATGTTTTCTTATTATGTTAAATATATAACAACTTATATATAACTAAAATTGATGTTTTGGCATGAAATTTGCAGTTTTAATATCTAATATTTCATAAATAATCTATTATCTAACATATTTTGCAAGTTTAGATTGCTTAGAGTTAGGAGGCATGTAGTACTGTAGTTCATTATTTTATTTTATTTTTCAGAATGACAAAGTAGTAAAATAAAATCAGGCCAACCTTACTTCACTTTTCTTTTTCCTAATTTATGTTTGTTTATCAATCAACATTTGAAGATTTTGAACAATAAATAGAAATGTATAAAAGTAAATAAATAAATAACAATAAAATAATAACAATATTAAAATGTCGTCTCTACTCGTGCATACCCAAGAAGATATACACATCCCAACAAATGCGATTTACACTTTCTTTTTTGTAGCCGATCAAGATACAACTTTTTCAACAACACCTCAACAAACATAATAACTACAAATCAACAACCCATAAATACATATACAAACACTCAACAAATCCAACCAAAACGTTCAACTCAAGGATCACTGTTAGGAAGCCTGGTTAAAACAGAGTGTTCTGGCTTATGACTACATTCAAAGTCTAGATGAACAAACGCACGTTCAACTTCCGGAAGCTTTTCAAGCTTTACTTGTAGTGTCTCTCCAATTGCATGAGCTTCTTTCAATGACAAATCTTCTGGAAGCTCAATGTCCACCTATTTCAACAAATATTTTTAAATTAAAACAAAAAAAAAAAATTACACCTAAGAAACAATATTTTCACTAAACCCGTTTAAATTACAAGGAATTACAACCCTTTTAAATCCACATTATATATTCTAAATACAAAATTGGGTGGAGTTATCCACTGACTTTAGTTCACCCCTATACTTTGTACCAATCTACATATTCTACCCCTCTATTCTAGAAAATGACGTTTTCCACTGCTTTATTTTTTTTAAATGTCGCTTTTACCCCCCTAAATTTTGGACTTCCTAAAATTTCACTTTCATCCCCTCTATTTTGGAAAATGACATTTTCCACCGCTTTATTTTTTTTAATGTTACTTTTACCCCCTAAATTTTGGACTTTTTAAAATTTCACTTTCACCCCTTCTATTTTGGAAAATGACATTTTCCACCGCTTTATTTTTTTTAATGTTACTTTTACCCCTCAACTTTAGACTTTTTAAAATTTCACTTTCACCCCCTCTATTTTCCACTCTCTACTTTTTATTGGACTTAAAACTCTCATACTGTGACCATTTATGTAAGTATACCACCATAGGGGCGATTATGTCCACTTACCTCTACAAAATATAGAACTCCGAATGTGTATGCACGAACTGTGTCGACTCGTTTTACTCGAGGATGACGTGTCACAAGATAAGTTAGTTTTTGCAGGACTTCAGGAGGTGCCGATTGTCCCACCAATGAAACTGCATAATCATGTCATATTAATATTAGCCAATCTTGATTCAGACTGGTGTTTAGGGTTTAGGGTTTAAGGGTTTAAGGGTTTTAGGAAAATACCTGCATTTTCAAGAACAGTTCCAGACCAGTTTATGATGGTATAAAGAGCGAGAATAATAGCACCCAAAGGATCAATCCACCAATAGAATCTATCACCAAGAACAGCAGCTACTAATCCAACTACATTTGTTACTACATCAAAGTAATGATCCTGATATCAAATTAGCAAGGAATATTTTTGTTAGATATGGTTTCCATTTTGATTGGAAGGAATGAAATGGTTGAAGTAATAGGAAAGAATTTTTTGTATGGATTTTTTATGTTATATGTAAATACAAGATTTAGTTTTAACACTACTTTATATATTATTTTTACGGTTAATCTCAAAAAAGACCTTAATTTTGGTGTTTTTTTTTTTCGGATTAAACCTCAAATTTATTTTTTGCCTAAAAATGACCTTGTATTTTTTCATTTTTTCCGAAAAAGCCCTCCACTTTGTATTTTTTTCTGAAAAAAACCCTCAACCTTCTAACAGTTCCAAATAAACCCTCAACTTTTTTAGTTTTTCTCGAAAAAAAAAACCCTCACATTTTACAATTTGTTTTGGCAAAAAATGACTAAAAGGGCCAGATCGGGAAAAATGAAAAAATGCAAGGTTTTTTTTAGGCAAAAAATAAATTTGAGGTTTAATCCGGAAAAAACACAAAATATAAGGTGTTTTTTAAGATTAAACCTTATTTTTATTAGAATAAAAAAATTTATTATGTGCAAAACTAAAATAATAAAAGTTCGTTAAAATTATACTAAATATTATTTATTTATTTTTATATAATAATACAATAACTTAAATAAAACCGTGAATTTTAAAATAAATATTAGTTTCACAAAAAAAAAATGGGTTATATTACGATTTTTCATTCCACTAAATGATGAAATAAAAAATAAAAACAAAAAAAAACCATGACAATATCAACAAAATGGAGGGCATCAGATTCCTTCAAGAAACTGTCCATTCCATTCCATTAAACAAAAACAAGCATCTTTTTTCACTTCAATGGAATGAACCATTCCATTCCTTACTCCAATTCCATCATACCTAACACTACCTTGCTATCAACAATTTCAATGACAATTGACACTAAAAAATAGGAAATAAGAACCTTTGCATATGCACGAACAATTTCGTTTCCTGAACTTCTGCAATACAACCATAAGACAAGTTTGACTATTGTTGCAGTCAACATGATGACATATAGCCATAACAACTGAACAGATGTCATTTTTTCAGGAGGTTGGTTTTCAATCAATTGTTCTACAGCCTGAATCAATACCTGAAACCCTAAAAATATACAAAAGTGAACTTTCTTCATCATAAACACACACCAGTTTGTAAAAACACAATCCTTTTACTTAAAACAAACAAATAACAGATTATTAGTCTTCTTTTTTTTTACTTGTTGAATGGTTTCTACTTAAAAGCTAATACAACGTACCAAGTGTAGCCATTATTGCAGCAAAGATGATGATTCCAACAGGCTGCACTCTGAGTTTCCCAATAGGGTATTTATAAATGTTGAGGTTTTGCATAGACAAGTGAGTGAACCAAAGTATGCCACCAGCCATTAGATCAAGTAAAGAATCGAGGGTGGATGCAGCAATGGCAATGGATCCGGTTTCTACTGTAGCATATATCTGTAATATGCAATAGGAATTCAAAATTTCTTTATAAAAATGTGATAACTACATTGAGATTTGAAGCAAAAAGAGATAGGATTAATTACCTTGAATGCTAGTAATAGAACATTGGCATAATTAGAGATCTTCATAGCTCTTTCTTGCTGAAGTTGTTCATCTAAGTCTTCCTCATCGATGCCTTCTGATGAAACTATAGCATCAACTTCTTCAAAAGACTTTAATGTTGCAAATTGCTTTTCATAATACTCTTTTTCACCTGTACACAAAAAGTAGTTTACAGATGTTAGTTTAGATAAGTCTTCTTAGATTTGACTTTTGTTTTGTTACTCAGTGCTTTGAAGTGGTTTCAGTTTTCTCTACTAAGATAGGTTATTCTTCTTCATTCTTACTAAATTGATACAGTTATTAACCTAACTGGTGTATTTTTAAGAAACAATCTTCTGAGAAATGGACAGCTACATAAAAAGGGGCCTTGAGAATTGAGATTCTTATGAAAGGAGACAAATGCAAAATTTATCATCTAAAGAGAGTGATAACATACAGATTGTTCAAGTCGTACATAAAAAGGTAATTTTGATCTTGGGAGATTGTATAAGAAAAGAGAGAAATGTACAGACAGTGATTATGGTAGAGAATTGGATGATGATGAAAAGGTCCACTGTGCTACTTAAAATCAAGTCGCATACATAATAACCAAGGCATTGGAACTTGATTTGATCGAATAAGCATTTAATTTTGGTTTGTTACTCAGTAGTTTGAATAATCCATGTTTTCTCTAATAAGATACGTTACGGACATAAATCAATAAAATCGAAGAGAAGCAATGAAGAGAGAAACTGAGGGTAGATATATGATCAAAAACCTTGAGTTAGGGAAGATGATGACTTGGAAGGTAGAGCGAAGGGAGAAGACGATTCAATATCAACCGCAGAACGGACTTTATCGGGTAACCGAGCCAACAAATCGCTCCTGAGTGAGTTCACCGAGTACCGCCGACTCAGCCGTCGTCCCCGCCTACCACCTCCCGGTGTCGTCGGCGACAACAACGCCTCTTTTACCTCCTCCATCCTCTCTGTCTCTATCTCCGGTGGCGAAACAGTGAAGGACGTCCACAGAAAGAATTATACCGACTTTGGAAATGCAGAAAACCAGTTATAAATAACAAAATTAAAAATTATCTTTATCATATAATGTTATTTCTTTCAATTTTTCAAAACCCAGTATTATTTCATTTATTCACATAAATATTACGATATACAGGTATATAATAAATAACAGTTTTATAAGCATAAACATTAGAGTCCAAATTCATGCATATATGATATATTTATTAAAAAAATAAAAGTCAAAGTTAGAATAAAAATAAAAAGGCTTTGTATATTATCGTCATTTTTTACTTTAACTATATGGAATAAATAATTATTTACAACATCTAAAATATAGATTATGTATTTATCTAAATATATTAGTATTAGATGAGTCACTAAGATATTAGTCAGACTCCCAACACAGTTTTATATAGAGATCTAATATGATGCTGAGAATCAATTCTTGGTTGGTTCATACAATTTTAAAATTAACTGTCTTTATTATATTTTTTAAGAAATAATCCAAATAAACTTTATGTAAAATATTCTTTAAATTGATCACGAATTCATAACCATCACAGAATGAAATTATCGGGCTACATGAATATCCGGTGAATTAAAAGATATGTTGAAACAAAAAATATAAATTTACTTAAAAAGGAAAGTATATTTTTTTATTCACAAGAAAGGACAATGATTCATGCCAATCGATTAGCCCTGCCGGCCCAACAGGAGAGGTTTGAAGTTTGAAGTTTGAACAACAGATGGGGTCCTTATAAAAGTCATATAAATAACTCTTGTTTAATTCTTTATTTTCTTTTAACTATGCTCAATGATTTATTTATTTTTATAGATAACTTTTTTAACCAAACGGCTTGGGCATAGTGCTATAAGATGTATTGGAAATGTCAAATTTGTCATTCAACTTTTTTAAGTTGAGGTTTCATTGTAAATAAATGTGTAAAGTAAATTTAGAAGTATCATTAAGATTAAGATGTATGTATGTTAGTCGTTCTAAAAAAATATAACTTTTTATAGTATATGGAAATGAATGAATTATGAACTTGCGAGGCAAACAGGATAAGAAAATGATTTATTATTGCTTTCACCTCTCAACTAAGACATTATCAAGAGAAAAACATGCAGGGTATTGAATTCGATTAAAAGGGTTGGATGTTGGTCTAAGAGTTCCAAGGACATTATGCCGAGAAAGTTTTAAAGTATTACCTATACATGTTAAAGCATCATTACATGGTTGCCTTGAAAGGAAATACTCTTGAAAGAACTTGTTTGGGTGCATTTTCCACATTCACACATCATATGAGAAAATAATTAAGTTACAAAATAAAAATAACAAAAGAGATATTCTGGTAAGTTCAAATGACTTTTGATCCAATGAAAAACTTGTTTGTGATTAGGGAGGATGAAATCATTGAAGTTTGAATAAAATTTCAACTGGAATTGGGATCCAAATCATAGAGAAGGAAAAATAATGATGTTAAACTAGTGAAATCAAGATGCGACACAAGATAATAATGAAACTGAGGCAGAAAATAAACATGTCAATATCAAAGGAATGTTAAACGCATCAATATGCATGGAAAAATAGGAAATAATAGGTAATGAGTTCTCAGGCTCTAGTATACAAACGTGTAGAGCCCGACCTCAAACTCTCATGTATTATGCAGAAACATAAATGCGGAAACATACTTTGTGGATGAAAGAGTATGTGAGTGAAGAGTGATTGTCACAGAGCGATGAGTTATAAGTGTAACACCCGTAATTTAGGGTTAGAAGTTTTTTCTTTATGTGAAATTCCTTACAAAGTAACATGATTTTTCAAAATCAAAATAAATACAAATGATTAAACTAAATAGTTGATTTAAAGTTTTAATTTGGTTAAATAAAAATAATTTAATTAAAATATAATTCACTAGTGAGTTGAAAAGTTAGGTGAAAACCTTAAAGTTTGACAAGTAAGGAATAGCATTTGAGTAAATTAAATTAATTAGAATATAGAATCATTTGTAAGATTTTTATTATTATTATTTAAAGTTGATTTGGAAGAATACCGACTAGAAATGTTAGCTGGGAAGTCATGTTGGGTTAAATAGGAAATTTGAAGGTTGAGGGACCAACCTTGCCAAACATCTGAGTAGAGACTAAGATGTCTTACGATAGATCTAGAGTTGTATATTAAATTTGGTTTTCGTCCATTATGGGTTAGTTGGTCTTGTTGCTTGCGTATTTTTAGAGCCGTTGATGTGATCTATTACTCCGATGCAGTGAGTCTCAAAAAATACTTACCATATATTATAATTCATTCAGTCAAGATCAATGATCAAGGGAATATAAGCCTTGTTGTTTATCTCCTATGGTTTTTTAGAGGATAAGTTGAGGAGCACCATCTTCGACGACCATGGTCATCTACGATAATCATAAATAAGATACTAAGGGGCATAGGCATAGATGGCAACGTAAAGAGGAAACATACACACACACACACACACACAGAGAGAGAGAGAGTAGGGTTAGGGATTTTGCTCACCGATACCATATTAGATAATATTTTTTCCCATATAGCATATATCTTGCATTAATGATAATTATATAAGATTTTACAAAATAACAAACAATGTTTCTAAGGTCAGTGTCATTGCTATAGTGTTATGTTTTTTTTTCCTTTTTTGTTTTTGGTGAATTAAACTTTTCGTTTATATATTTATCAAATAGATAAGATGACATAAATGTTCGTGTGTGAGAAAAAAAAACTTACAAAAATGACCCATGTGTTTCAAAGAGATAAAATGAAAAAAAAAATGTTCATATGTTAAATAAAATCAAAGAATTGTTACCTATGTAACAAAATTGAACAAACAATCACCATCTTAGACTAAATTAATACATAAATAAATAAATATAAAAAAAAAGCCCTATATAGTATAGGAAATAAATGAAGTTACCGAAAGTAGAATTGTCCATGTGTAACACAATTACAAAAATGTGTGGCAGCTTAAAACCCTCATTATATACAAATTAGTGAATTAGTGAATTATAATATGGCTTGATGAGCTAAGGCAATAAAATGGACTAATGATATGCATATTCTTTATACACTAACAAAACTAAATGGAGTCATAAATTAGTGAAACTGGCCCGATAAAATTATAAACAAAAAAAAAATCATAAACATGAGATGATAAATTTGAGCCCATGCCCATACTAGTCAAACCTAGAGAAGCAAATAACCACGAAAAAATATCATTGTGTCTAAACCAATAGCAATTACTATTCCTACTTATGTCTAAAACTTGTAAAAAAAATGCAAGTGTAGACTAATTGACCACACGTTATAAGTACGTGAATGATTAGTTGGAGGCCTTTGCTTTGTGCTAGAAGGCGTTTGTGGTTTTGACTTTTTTTTAAAGCTACCATATTTCCGAAACTATCTTTGGGTTTTAGAAAGGGCCTTAACTAGTATAGCCAAAAACCGATCTATCTGAATGTAAACAGATTAACCAGTTTATTCGGATATCATTTTTCGACATGTCATACTTTAAACGGTAAGAAAAATAATCTTAACGTAGGATGAATGAAACCACATAAACTACCTTTATAGTTTACTTCTTAATATATTTATAGTTTAATCCTTAATATAGTTGAACATCAACAATTCGACATCACTAACAAGAGAAACCATGAACTAGCTTTTTAGTTTACTCATTAATATATTTATAGTTTAATCCTTAATATAATTGAACATAGACATCGTTAACACCTTGTAAAGTTCTATTTTTTATTGTAACATTGACTTTTCATCGATTTTATTTAACAAAAACATATTATCATAATTTTTTTCTAATGATTTTGACTTTTTTTTTCCTTAAAATTAACTGATTTATAACTAATTTATCATTGAGCGTGCCTCATGTTTAAAAAAAATTATCTCAAAAAACCAATTAACCTAAAAAACACTATAATACAAAAAAGTAAAATAGTCTTTTAAGTTATAACTCTATATTTTATTTCGCCTCTACCTATTAGCAAAGTTTGTTCGTTTTAAAACAAAAATCCTTTTTAGCTTTTAAGACTACGAAGCCTTCATTTTTTTTTTCAACATAACAATGACACTATCATATCTCATCTTATAGAGATACAATGCAACAAAAAAAATATATATAAAAAATTAAGTGTCTTTTTCGAATATATGAATAATAATATTATTACATGTACGATCCTAATATCTGATATTAAGGATTATAAATTATAATGATATACTATAAAATATTTAACAAAAAACTACTTTTTTTACTCGATACAATTAAATACAATAATATCAAAAGAACAAGATAATCACAGAAAAACAAAGCCAAAAAACACTTCAATAGTTTGAATATAATATCAACCTTTTGCTACCTTAATGAAGTCAGTATTACATTTTCATTTCATCTATATTTTCCATTTTCATATAGTTGAAGCCAAAAGATCAAGAACACAAGCTTCAAACTGATAACATGGATGAAGACATTATTTAAAAACACTACATTTACACAACACCCAAAATCCTAAAGCTTAACCACATTCTTTCTAAACCCTAAAAAGACAAATAAAGCATGAAATCAAGAACTTACAAGATAAACATGCACCTGTTTTCAACTTCTACCATATCTTCATTCATTATCCTTTTCTTTCAATTCAATAATCCGATTATCATCTTCCATCTTACCTTCAATCTCAACATCTAACTTCTCTTCGTTGTTCACAATATTATCTTCCTTATGAACATCTGATAGGCCTACATCTTTTAACACTTCCATTTCCTTCAATCCCTTTTCACCATTGTTAGATTCTTTTGGTTCAGAACACTGATTCCCATTTCCATCATCATTCTCTTCCATTAGCTCATTAGTATCTTCAACTGACCTTCCATAGCCACGACTCCCACTATCATTCTCAGAATCATTCTCCACAACAACCTCTTCAATAAATCCTTGTCCTCCCTGCATTCCCCTTTCCAAACTATGCAACCTCTTCCTCAAGTTATCAAACTCCCTTTCCATCAAGAACAATCTCTCTTTCAATATCAGATTTTCTTCTTCCAGTTGAGCTATATGTGTATCCTGATCGTCAACTCTGTTCTCCAAAAGATAACTATTATGATCAGCGCCACCGTGGTTTGGGTAAATCATCTCAAATCTGCTCAAATCATGGTCTAATCTCCTCTCCACCTCCAAATGTTCCTCAACATCGCTTTCACTTGATCCACCTTCTTCATCTTCTTCGTCATTTCCAGGAGAACGAAGCCTGATTAACCCTTTCATCGACCCATACCCATCAACACCCCATTCTTCTTTCGCCATGTCAACTAAAACCTCACGAGATGGAGAAAAAATCGGCGTAGGGAGTACAGAAGGAGTAACAGGGCATGGAGAAACCAGAGATGTAATCCCTCCTGCTTTTTTTGCACGAATGAGGAAGGAAGTAGTGTTTCTAGGAGCAAAAGGAGCTGATTTACCACCATGATTGTGTTTCTTCTTTGAAAAGTATCTTCTGGCTTTCAATCGATTTTGTTGCTGTAGTTCCTTGAGTGTAGGCGGATTATAATTACCTACTCCAACATTGCCTAATTCGTTCCAATTATTGTTATTCCGTTTGTCATTTCCCTTCTTCCCCTTCCAGTTTTTGTTGTTTCGTGGCCCCATAGGTTTTGAAGAAGACGGAACAAAACCTGAAGGTTTCGTGTTCGGATTCTGGAACTTGAGCTGCCCCGGTTGCGCCGGCGGCCACATCCCGTAACGACCACCTCGGTTGTTCAACATCCCCTGCGACTGTGACTGATTCATCATCATATGAGAAGGATTAATTAACTGATTCACCAACATCTGGGAGTTCTGATTATTCATCAACCGATGGGATTGCATTATCGGAAGCTGCTGCGACTGATTCATCATCTGAGCTTGATCGTTCATCTCCACTCCGAACTCCGATGACGATTCACTACAACGAAAATTTTAAAACCCTAAAATACCAATTCGCGATCGGAAAACGTAAAAAAGAATCAGACAGAAACTTCTACCAAGATTAAAAAGCTACTGATTACCACGAGATGAAAGACTAAATCGTACATCGGAAATCAGCAAACCCTAAACCTAGCAGAAAAAACAGATCGATTTCGTGATGATTGTATGATCCAAACACTTATCAAATTCAAATTAATAGTCCGATCTAGGCGATCTTTGATTTGATTTTATGTAAGAATTTTGAACTTGTAGAAGTTTTGGTTTCAAATTCTCGTTCTGTTTCTAGAGATTCGAAAAGGGGAACCGGTCATGTGGAGGAGGAAGGTGCCCTTTGGTTGGTTTTATAGGCCAGATGAAGTATGAGATGGACGGTTAGATGATGTATTAATCCAACGGTTGAGATTGGATAACACGCTATTAATGCGTGAGATATAGATCTGAGTCGGTTAAAAGGGGTTACTTGCGCCTGTGATATAAATCGCTTTATTATGTTGCAAATTGTAATTTGATGTAAAATATTTAAATAATATTATAAAAATAAAAATTTAAGTACAAAATTTAAAATCATAAACGGGAGACTCATTTGAATTATTTTGCTAAAAACAAAACAATTACGAATACGGGAAAATAACCCGCGCGAATTTGTAATATCATATTTTCAAATATTTAAGCTATTAATTTCTCGCGTGAGTCATTTAATACTCACGTTTGTCCGATCAATTTCAGAATTAACTAGCGAATAAATGTAGCTAAGATTTAAGTACTCGAAATTAGTTGTGTATATAAACTCGAAGTCGAGGATAAGAATAAAAACAAACCGGTACAATACATCGTATACATAGAAGAAGTTGATATTTTCTTAGGCCGGACGGAATGGTTGTGGGGAAGACCCGCGGGAAGCTTCCCGCCCGGCGGAACACCGCACCGTCGGCACGGGGAAGGGTGGCGCGGGAACGGGTGAGGGGAGGCTCTCCCGCGTTCTCTCTCCATCTGTGATTGGCTGGAGCAATTTTTTTTTTTTTTTTGTGAATGAGCCGTTGATTAACGGTAAAAAAAATATTTTTTTTAGCAACGGCTAAATGCATTTAACACCAATTCTTTTTGTTTTTTTTTACCTTTTTAAACACCTATAAATACACAACTATTTACCATCAAACAACATTCAAACAAACTCTCTATTCTCTCTATTTTCTTCTCAAAAAAAAAAATGAATCCCGACAATCAAACCCCAACTTCCGATCGAAGGAAAAAAAGTCATGGTTCGAGTTTAAACATCCCTTCTCGAAACATTTTTGCTATCGATTCATCACCACAATGAGTTTATTGCCCCCAACTCGATGCTCCCATTCAATCCCCATTACAATTCCAATACCAAAATGTTGGACAATATTACCCGATCCAAGTTCCAAATGTTTCGCCGCAAATGTTTTCAAACTTTGTTGTGTTCCCGGATCAACAATCGCCAAATCAACCTCAACCCCAAACCCAAACTCAAACTCAAACCCAAACCCAACAACAACGCCAACTTGTCGATGAGTTGGATGACTCGGAAGAAGAAGAGATGGTTCCCGAAACTCAACCCACACCACCCCCACAAAGACGTAAAGGGAAAAAACAAGCGCGCGAGGGTGTCGCACAACCGGGAAGACAAAAGCCGACAGCATGGGTTCCACACGAAGAGCTAGTTTTGGTCAAAGCTTGGGCTGACATTTCTGAAGATTCGATTCAAGGAAACGCACAACCGGGAGACCATTTTGGTTTCGCATTTTAGAACGGTTTCGAGAGGAGCTAGGAAAAGGTGACGACTACCGTACAAAACATCAACTGAATTCGAAGTTTCGAGAAATAACAAAGGGGGTTTCAAAAATAAACGGGTTGTACAACAACCTAAAAACCCAACGAAAAAGCGGCCAAGGCGACGAACAAATACTTCAAGAAGCTTTGCAGTTTTACCTTGAGGAAGTCGGGAAACCATTCAAGTGGCACGATTGTTGGAAATTATTGGTCCGATGTCCTAGGTGGAAAAAATACGAGCAAGATTTTATTTTTGGAGTCCAACAATCAAAGCGAACGAAAACGGGCTCTAGTGGTTACACAACCTCCTCCGATGCTCGGGTCGATCTAGATTTAAATGAGGATGACGAACTTGAGCTAGAAGAAATTGTCCGCCCAATGGGTAGGGACAAAGCGAAGAGAAAGGGAAAAGGGACTTCTTCAGGTGCATCTGATTTCAGCATGGACGTTGACGAAATGCGGAAAATAACAGCGTCGTTTGATCGATATAATCTTAATTTCTCCGAACGTTTGACTTTCGACAAAGAAAAAGAAGAAGCAAAGAAAAAGGATCGGGCGTAGAGACAAGAAATGGAGGATATGAAGTTTTTGATGGAAAACACTGATCATCTCTCGGGACCGGCTCTCGAGCTCGTGATGAAGAAGAGGGAAAAATTCTGAAAAAATATTTTCCGTAGGTCGTTGTTGGTTTGTTTGATTTTTAGTTTGTTTTTTTTATTTTTTTAATTTTCTAGTTTTTTAAATTTTTGGTTTATTGTAATTTTTATTTTAATTAATGAAATGCATTTTCTTTTTAATTAAATTTTTTGGTTATTTTTAATCTAAAAATTATAAATCATAAAAATCAATTAATTTTATTTAAAAAAAATAGTGAGGGAAGTCTTTCCCACCCATTCCTTAGGTTTTAGGCGAGGGAAAGAAAAGTGGGGGAAATGGTGGTATGGCCCACAAAAAGTGAGGGAAACATCCCTCCCATACCCTCCAGTCTTAGAAGAAGTTGATATTTTCTTAAACGATATATATAGAAAATACTAATGCATACGGAGATCGTGATTTACCATGTATTATGAACTATTTCAAGGAAAGTTGTTAAATGATCTTCGGTATTATGTAGTTTATGTTAGGGATGAGTTTTTTAACCGAAAAACCGAACCAAAACCTGTTGGAACCGATTGGTGATATTCGGTTCAGTTCTCGGTTCCTTCAGTTCATCATATTCGGTTTTTGGTTTCGGTTCTGGTTCTGGTCAGTTCCAATTCTTCTGAACACCTTCTTAGATAGCACATTTCATGGTAGAACCAAACTGAATCTGGTTAGTGGTATTTAGTTTGGTTCTCAGTTCCCCGTTTAATCCTTAATTGGTTTTAAGTTCTTTCGGCCTCAGTTTTGTTTCGGACGAATTAACATCCCTAGTTTACATCTCTATTGTTCTGTTGAATAAATATTAACCTTGTTCGTTTTGTTTATTATTTAGTTGAGGATGAGGCAAACAAATAGCATAAAAAGATCTTTATATATGGACATTTTGTGGTCATTTTTGTTGAGTTATGATGATCATAAGAGCACAAAGCAACAAAGCATGAAAATTATAACTTGATCATTATGACACACCAGGACCATCCCAAAGATTTCGATGGCCCTATACAACTTAGTAAAAAATAGGCCCTAAATTTTTAAAAATCGAAAAGTTGTGTGCCAAATTCATTTAACATGATTAACCTATATTTATCCATATGTAAGAATTCCACATTTTTTATGGTGTTTTTCAAAGTCATATGATACATCAAGAATAAGCAATAACATACTTTTTCTATCTTCTTCATTCAATAAAGGAGTTGTTGACACCACTAATATTTTGACTATTTAGTTTCTTTTGAAAAAGCTTAAGCATATGAAATCACCCAGTAAGTCGATATACAGGGTCGACCTCTAGAATTTATATTTTTTTCACTTTTCATTCAAAATAGTACACAAAAAACTTTGTTCTATTTAAAACCTGTAAAAATAACAAATTACAAGAACTGAAATAATAAATTAAAAAACTTGTTTCTAAGACCTCCTCATACTACCAAATCTTATAATTCTAAGACCTTCTAAAAACCTGTAAATATAAGAAATTAAATACTACATTAGAAAGATAAGGAATTATCTTATCATATATGAATCATAAAGAAAGAAAATGTAAAATTCATTTTACCTTATGATTTTCCGAAAACTCAATCTGGATTGAAGCTTTTGAAATCTGTTTTGCTTCTGATTTTCAAAAACATAGAGAGTTAGAGTAGGATATTGTGGCTTTTGATTCAGTGAAATGCTTCTAATTTTGGAGAAGAAAGAAGTAAGATGAAAGAAACTCAAAGCTTCTGATTTTCAAAATCGAAACCTCAAGAAAGCCGGAGTAAATTTATTGTTCAATGCCTTTGATTTCAATGATAATACTTTAGATTTTGGAGAAGAAAGAAGTAAGAAGAAATACATAAGAACCCAAATCTTATTTGAAAAAAATAGAATCGTTAGTTATTTGCTTCTGTCAAGGATTGTTGACGTTTCAGTAGTAACCGTCATTAATTTTGCTCCATGTGTTCAAAAATTGAAGCCCCTCCCCCCCCCCCCCCCAACCCCCATGAATTTGATTTCCCACTTATATGTGTGTCACCCTCTTCTTCCAACGATACGTAAGTAGTAACATTAACTTGACCTAATCTTGGCCTAATATGAACATAGGAAAAAAATTAAGGCCTTATGTTTTGGTGTTCCTTATTCATAGGCGCACTTTGAACACCCTTTGGTCGGCCCTATAACCCACCACACATCTTGTTCTAGCAACTTTTAACAACAAAAATCAAAGAAGCATAAATCGAAATTTACCTTCTTGCAAAAGTTATAGAGCTTATTTCTTCTTTATCTAGGACGAGAGAGAGCCAAACTAGAACTCCTCCAATGTAACTGCACCCAAAGACAATGTAATTGCACCCAAAGCATCCTACAAACATAATCGAATGGGATTGCATTGGTGCCTTAGACCCACAAATACAATAAAGAGACTCACCTCGACCGGTGAACGAATAGATCTCACACACGAGCTGCTGGTACTAAGGTCTCTCCCACTAAACATCTCCACAAATCAAACCCTAATTAACAATTAAGGTAATACTCTACTTAATGGGTCTAAAATCTAATGCTAATCCCCATTTGGGAAAAATACATGTAACATCCCGACTCCGAGGTATAATTTTTGAAAGCTTGATGTTCATTTTATTGAGGGAACTTTACGAGTTGGAGGCCCCAACTCGTCGTGTCGATCTAGTCAGCCCACATGAATTATGATACCTACTCGACGAGTCGAAGGACCCCGACTCGACGAGTAGAGGTTGTGCATGGAAACCCTAATTTTTAGGGTTTGCACCCTATTTAAAGGACCTTAAGTCCTTTCCTCCAGCCCCTTACCACCTTTTGACGGCCAGAAGAAACCCTAATCAGTCTAAACCATGTTCTTGTGTGTGTTGAGAGCTTGAAAGGTGTTATTTGTTGATTTTGGAAGGGAAAGTTGAAGAGTGAGGAGCTTGGATCAAAAAGTAAGAAGTGGATATGTCAGCTACTTTATTTTGGCAACCAATCTGAGGTATAAAGCTAATACCTTGACCCTTTCATGCTTAGATCTTCTTCTATGGACATTTATGGTCATTTTTGGGGTTTAATGGAGCCACTCTTGGGTTTGTGCTTGTCACAGGGACATGGTCTCAGATCTGGACTCCTCTAGGCCCCAAATTCATAAAGTTATCAACTTTATCTTGTATTGGCCTTTCCACATGCCCTAAACCTCATTCTAGACTTGGTTTTGGTGTTTTAAGCCTTTAAGA